GGTGCGGGGGGCGGGGGGAGGCGTATTGTGTACCAGGGAGGAAGTGTTTCTTTTACTTTTCAAAGAGAGGAGCGAACTGGGTGGTGGGAGTGGGGGCGAGGGCTGGGCGGGGAGAGAAGTGCAGCAATGAATGAATGGAAATCCAAAATAATGGAAATCCAAAATCTCTGTAAATGTTCATTAAAATTATTTTTAAAAAAGATGGAAAGAATAAACTTCAATAAATTACAAATTAACATAGATTAAAAAAAGAAAATGTGAATATTCCTTAAAATTGGAGAATTTCAGAACACTTAATTGAGTTCACTTGGAAACTACACAAGGACCAAGAAGAATTTATTAGTAACTACCTGGTTTGAAATCCGGAATGGTATGCGTGAGAGTTACTTGTATCCTTTCACCACACGTTTATTTTTTTCTGAGCAAATAATCCAAGAAGCTGGACTAGGTGATGAAGAATTTGGCATCAGTATTGCACGAAGATTCATGAACAATTGGAAATAAAAATGACACAACTACACTTGCTGAATATTAAGAAGCTTTTAAATACTTGTTGAAGAAATCAAAGATTACAGTCTTCAGTATGTACTACATTTAACATGTTGTGGTGGTGGTGGTGGTGGTTGTTAGGGCTGTCATGTCAAGTACAACTCATAGTGACCCTATAAACAACAGATCTGAATCCTGTTCTATTCCTCACCGTCTTCACCATTTCTGATACACTTGAGTCCATTACTACAGTAACCTTATCAATCCATATCAAAGTGGGTGTTCCTTTCTTTCACTGACCCTCCACCCTTCCAAGCATGATATCATTTCCCAAGGGATATATTCTTCTAGCAACATGTTCAAAGTATGAGAGATGAAGTTTTACCATCCTTTCCTCCAAGGACCACTCCGGCTGCACCCTCTTCAAGACATATCTGTTTGTTCTTTTGGCATTCCATTAGATATTCAGTACTCTTTTCCAACACCACAACTCAAAAGCATCAATTCTTCTATCATCTTATTTATTGTCCAGCTTTCAGGTATGCAACATGTTATTGGAAAGTCCATCTCCTGAATCAGGTTTATCTTGGTCTTCAAACTGACATCATTGCTCTTCAGTATTTTGGCGTGCATTTTGGAGAGGTCCTTGATGGCTAACATACCCAAAGCAATGTTATCATTGTTGTTGAGTGCTGTCGAGTCATGGACTCATAGCGACCCTATGAATGAAAGACCTGAACAACTGTATAACTTTCATCGTTTCTCCAAGTTCATAGAGTTTCAGGAGGCAAGCTATTATGGAAATGGATGCCACTCCTGATTCCAAGCTTGTTTTAATGGGGTAGCTCCACCAAACACTGTCCACCATGGGTAACCATTATCACATTTGGCACATCAGTGTCACAGTATTTAGCATCACAACAACTGTGAGTTACCTCTGTACAGCAAATGGACAGACCATGTAGAAGAATGTTTGACCAAAAACAATTAAAACCAGGCCTAACTGATCAAAACAATTAAATTTCATTAAAACCATGCCACAGATTAAAATCACCCACCTTTAGCTTGGTATAGCTCCTTGTCTCCTAACTGCTAATCCCCAAAGGGTTGGTTGTTAATCCAAACAAGAGGAAATCATTAAAAGTTTCAATCCTTGCTCCATCTAGCATGATATTGCCCACTGGCTTAGTAGTAAAGACCTTACTTTTCTTGATATTAAGATGTAATTAAAAATAAGATGTAATCCAAAGGCTGCTGTCTTTGACCTTCTACACAAAGCACATCAGATCACCCTCACTTTCAGCAAGCAATGTTGTGTCATCTGCTTAGCAAAGATTGTTGATGAGTCTATCTCCAATCATGATGCCACATTCTTCATAGAATCTGGCCTGATGAAATATTTGCTCAAAATACAGATTGAATAGGTATGGAGAAAGATACATACCCCTGATACATACCTTTCCCAATTTTAAAGCATAAAGTGTTCTCACATTCCATTGAGACAATAGTTTCTTGGTCTAGGTTTAGATTGCGTATGAGCAAAGTGTACTGATATTCTCATTCTTATAAAAGTTAGCCATAGTTTGTTGTGATCTACAGTGTCAAATGGTTTTATGGCCTATAAAATACAAATATAAATTCTTCTGATAGACTCTGCTTTCAGACAGGATCAATCTGATCAGCAATGATAGCCCTGGTGCAACAGCTTCTTTGAAATTCAGCTTGACCTTCTGCAAGTTTTCTATCAATACATGGTTTCAGTTGTTTTTGAATGGTCCTTAGCAATGTTTTGCTTGCATGTGATATTAACAGTTTGTTTGATAATTTTCATATTCTTTTACACTACTTTTTTGTTGTTTCTTTTTAATTTTTTTGTGATTTTAATAAAATTTACAGAGAAGTTGGATTTTTCATTCATTGTTGCACATTTTCCTCCCTACCCACCTCCTGTTCACCTTTCAAAAAATCATTTATTGTTGCATAATTTCCTCCCTCCCCTAGTCCACTTTGCTATGCACCTCTTAATCTGGACTTCTGCCATACAAATAATGCATAATGATACATTCCTTTTAAACAGTTCTTTTCTTCATCTGTCCCAGTGCAGTGTTCATTATTTATCTCCTCTTTCTTAGTTTCCTCACAACCTCCATGTCAATCCTGTTTTATAACAGTGGTGTTATTCAGTATTTGCCCTTTTGTGACTGAGATATTTTACTCAGCATAATGTCCTCCAGAGTCACCCGTGTTGTGTAATATTGTATGAGTTTCTTGTTTTTCAGTGCTACATATTATTTCATTGTGTGACTATAACTGTCTTTCTATCCATTCACTTGTTGAAAACACTCAGATGTCAAATAGACACATGAAGAAATGTTCAAAATCCCTAGCTATCAGAGAGATGCAAATAAAAACAACTATGAGATATCATCCCACTCCAGCAACAATAGCAAAGTGCAACATAGCAGCAAACAAGAAATGCTGGCGAAGTTGTGGAGAGATTGGAACCTTTATTCGCTGTTGGTGGGAGTGTAAAATGGTGCAACCACTATGGAAGGTGGTTTGGCACTTTCTCAAAAAGTTGGAAATAGAAATACCATTTGACTCAGCATTTTCACTACTAAAGAAACCAGAGCTGCCACCCACAGATAATGCTCACCCACGTTTATTCCTGCATTATTCACAATACAAAGAGATAGATCACCTTTCCTTGAATGAGAACAAACATGGATTTCTTCCAGTCAGCTATCCACCAAATTTCCTGGCATAGACTCATGAGCACATCCAGGGTTGCATCTGTTGGTTGAAAAATGTCAATTGGTATCCCATTTATTCCTTATTTTTTGCCACTATCTTCAGTACAGCTTGAACTTCTTCCTTTTTTACCATTGTTTTTTGTTCAAATGGTGCTTCCTTAATTTTTTTTTAATGCTGACTAAAAAATTTGGTACAATGACTCTCCATATTCCTTCCATCTTCTTTTAATGCTTCCTGGATCATTCATAATTTTCTCCAATAGCATCTTTCAGGATTGAATTTGTTTTTCGGTTCTTTCAGCTTGAACAATAGCAAGCAAGTTCTTCCCTTTTTATTATCTGAGGCCAGTTCTTTACACATTTTGTTATAATAGTTTTGCTTTGTCTTCTTGAGCTGCCCTTTGAAATCTTCTGTCCAGCTCTTCTACTACAGCATTTATTCCCTTTGCTTTAGCTTTTCGATCCTCTAATGCAATTTTCCTTATTTCTTCTGACATCTGCTTTGGCTTTTTCTTTCTCCTCTGTCC